TGTCTGTCAGTCTTGCATTTTCCATGCACTCTTGTCGTTATTGTGTCGATGCGCTTCTCTTTACTCAAAAACCAAACTAATACACAAGAGCGAGATCATGCCAGTGGAGATATTTCAAGGCCTGTATATATATATTACGTACTTGAAATCCACAATTTTACCCGCACGTATTATGAACGGACTGGACAAAAGCGACAATTTTGTCCACGAGGATGATAATTATTTTATTTCATTTGACTTCATAATAAAACTTATGTATGTGAATTTTACACAATGTTAACAAGAGCTATTAAAATTTGTTTCATCTACTTGTTTAACTCCACACAAAACCTTTTTTAAAATTTCTTCTGAAAGAGGGTGGTTGGAAGGTGTTCTGGTGCGGTTAGTTCCTTCTTTCCTATCAAGCATTTAGATTCTATCGCCCTTGTCTCCTCTCTTTTTCTACCCTCTTTTTTCTCCCCTCCTTTTCTGTGCATGCTATTCTCTTGTAACATCTCTAATCTTCGGCGCGAGGGTGGTTGACGGGTGCTCTAGTGTGGTTAGCTTCTTCTTTCCTATCAAACGCCTATCGTCCTTATCTCCCCTTCTTCTTTTTTTTATGTTTGTTACTCTCTTGTAACACCTCAAATCTTCTGGCGCTCATATGAACTTATGCAGTTGCGAGCGCCGTAAAACCTCTACTAAAACTAAAACTAATCTTTGGCACTTGTATTATGACCTATTTGTGTTGCGAGTGCCGTAAACTCGGACTGAAAATGAAAAGTATTTTGAAAGCAAAGCAATGGTGTTTCTAAGATCAGATTAATAGCTGTTCAGCTGGCGTTTTTGTCTACTTGTAACATACACCCCCGCCCCAACCCTACTATTTTCCCCTCCAGGCTACACGCACCTACGAAAACAATATAAAATCATATTTTTTTAATCCCCGCCCGCTACCATTTCCTCTCTCTCTCTCTCTCTCTCTCTCTCTCTCTCTCTCTCACTCGCACTCGCACTCGCACTCGCGCGTGCACGCGCGCACACGCACGCACACATGCACGCACGCACGTACATACACACACACGCACACACATACAACCACTATTGATCACAGCAAAATCACCACCAATGGGCGACGGCAGAAGGAAGGAAAGGCGACAAGATATTTGAGACTGTCATTATTTTTGTGGATTTCTTTTTTTTTTCCCTGTTGTTGTTGTTTCGACACATTTGATAATTAAAGTTTATTGATGCCATAGAGTGAGTTATCACAATACAGTTAAACCTGCTCTAACGGCCACCTGTATAAGACAACAACCTGTACAAACGGCTACTTAACAGTTTCCTCCTTGCATGTTTTTTACATTACACTGACACTGTACGAGACGTTCACCTGTCTTAGACGGCCACTTTTCTCCTCGACAAGGGTTGACCGTCTTAGACAATTTCGACTGCTAATTATACTTGTACAAGGTGTTTACGTAATATATTTTTTTCTCTTATTCCAGGGTTGAAACAATTATATAGACCACCATACTTCGGAATAGCTGTGAAGACGTGAAGAGGGAACGACAGAACTCAGTAAACGAATCAGATCAAGATGTCCGATTTGGAGAAATCTTACAGTGGGGAAGACATGATGACTGAACCAAACCAGGCCATGATAGACAGAATGCAGGAGGTCATGGCGGAGAAAGCAGCTGTAAGTATTATTCAGTGTGTGTGTGTGTGTGGGGGGGG